ATCTCGGGTTCTGGTCAAAGGCAGAGAAGAAGGCACATGCCCAGGCTGAGGCTGTGTTTGATGCCAAGGCATAGTAGGCGACTGTGGCCATCGTTGGACTTCGAGAGCCGAGAGGTCGGTTAACTATGCTATGCATTTTACAACCCACACACTTCTGCCCATCTCTCTTTGCACACGTGCTCATAAATGGGGCAAAATCTAGCGTAACTAGCGTTTGTAACTAGCTGGAGCACACATGAGCGCACTCGGCCCGCTGCGAATCATTCCAATGTCCAATTCATTATCCTCTGACGCCATCAGAACGAGCCCAATTAATTCTAATTAACGTTCAATCTCGCGCCTCTGCACCTCTCAACCCCAGCAATTCCTATCTCGATCTCAATTCATTTATCTCACCCACCTTCTGTTTTTATCCTTATACGTTCCTTCATTTCCGATCGTCGATCTCCTTTCTTAATTTATACTCTAATGACTTCATTCTAAACTAAATAGCTTATCATAAAACAAGATCACGATTTATTCCATACACTTACACCTCAAATAAATACATTCATCCGAAAAATATAAACATTCATATTCTTTAGTACACATTATAATGATAAATATAAGAAACAATTAGATATTTATTCTACAGGTATGTTCTTTATAATCAACAAACAATTGATCAAAAAAAATTAAAATAATAATAATCACTACCAAATGATGAAATAAACCAGAACTGAAGAACCATATGGTCAATGTCTTTTATAAAATATTCACGCTACTGAAAACTTCATTGACGTGTATATGATTTTAGTTGTGCTATAACATGCTTAAACTATATAACGCACGTCTCAATTTGTAAGACCGAAAAATTAGGTAGTTAATGGATAAATATGTAAATATTTTTGTCAGTTATATAGTATAGGTAAGATATTATTAGACATGTAAATACATAAGTAAATACAATTTATTAAAAAAAAATACTGTAATATTTGTAATACACAATAATAAAGTTAGTTCACAAATCTCATATCAATTTTGTTTTCTTCGTAATTTTCTGTTAGGTTGTATTAATAAATCTGATATTAATGACAATCGACATATGCTATGACATCTAATCAAATTACATAAACTATCATTAAGTCAATGATCAAATTCGCTTATTACTATTTACGGCATCCTAAAACATCATTAAAACCAAATATAATATTATTTGTACATCTTTTGTGGTAGTTCAAAGACTCGTAACTTACTGAAACATAAACATTTATTCGTAAAACCATTCAGAATTCCGCAACAGATACAGTAAACACAGATATATTATATGTGCAACTGTAAATGCTTATTTACACAATTGAGGAAACGGCAGTGCTCGTATAATATATCCAGCCAGCACTACTAATGTACTTTATGAAATATACGAGAAATTCATTAATTAATGTATCGTATAGTAATCTCATTCATTCGCTTTTGAAATTAATTAAATAATAATTAGCTTTCATTCGTACTTTTGTAATTACAAAATATTATTATATTTATTTATTATATTGATTTATTGATTGATTAACTTTACTATATTATTATATTGCTAATAAATTACTACTGAAATATTTATGTTTTATTTAGAAAAGTACAAATAGGATTCTATTAGTTAGAATTATTACGACTAATTAAATGGATTCTTTGAATGCATAAAAGCATAAAGTGTAATTTGTTAATGAATTTTTTAATAATTAAATAAAATATAAATACAAAATTAATAGAAATACTGACATTATTACCAGAAGAAGAAAGTGATTTATGTGATTAATGTAATTTGGCAAAGTAAAAGTTGTTATGAATTATATTACTATTATTTCTTCTATCGTTCTATCATTCAATTTCTAAGCGTGGATAGCTAATGAAAAGCCAGAATAATTTACCAGTTTGCCGTATTTATCACTATGTACACATTTCCATTTACTCGTGTATTTACACGGTTACAAGAAATCGGTTATCGAGTTATTTGAATACGCAAATCAAAATATGTACATTGGTAGTATAACTTAACAAGCCAACGGAAAATTTCCATAAAACAAATGATAAATAAAGATTTGTCATTTTGGAATTTGTGATCCAGTGAACTAGTTTACTCACTCGACATCTGCGAATCGGAATAAATCTCTATACGCGAGGTAGATAAATATAATTGAAATGCAGATGAAATATGAAAAGCCAACGAATGTGTCCGAATGATTAATGCCACGTGTGCGATTCGGACATGCATGTCCAATATATTTACGGGCAACGAGAGGAGAAAGACGACGGTTTGCCAAGAGATCGGACTTGATCTGGGTGTTCAGAGCAGTGCAGAGAGAAGGAAGATTGGACTTCTTTCATCGGTCCATCGCCGCCGCTTCGCTCCGTTTTCCGCGAGAGGATTGATACATTGTATTAATGCGCGATCCATGCACGATAAAGGCAGAACGAAACACATGTTATGTAACATGCGTTGCTGTTCTTTCCGACGATTGTGCGCGCCTTTTCCTCTTTTCTTTGCGTTATTTATATATATAAATTCTTTTTTTTGTTGTTGTTGTTGTTGCTGGTGTTGTTGTTCTTCGCTTTCGCCCGCATTTTATGCGAAGCTCGCGCGCCTGATAGAACCGATAAGCTTTTCAACTCCAATAACTTCATTTGCAAACCCCGTCTCAAAACACAACACAACGCAACACCACTACTAGTTTGTAAAACAGCTTTTGCGCCGAAAGATTACATTGGCTTGATAAGAATTGTAGTTGGAAAAGGCAAACAAAACTATTTCTCTTCTTACAAAAAAATGTGTATTACTTTTTAATTGTTGAATAGAAATTGATGATTAGTCATTATAGTTATTTCAATACTAGATAAGCTTAATAATTAAGGACACAATTTGATATGATATTAACCTCATAAATAAAATAATTTTGTGTTCTACCGAAACTAATGTATGACCCTAATTCAAAAATAACAATAAAATAAGTGTAACAAGTCAAATTTTACTAAATATAAAGTTTTTTTATTAATATTCAATTATAACAAGAACAAAGAAATATACGAAAGAGATAAAATAATATAATAAAACTTAAGATCAGCTAAAAATCGTAATAATTTAATTTTTTTGCAATATGTTTTTCAATTTTCTGAAGGTAGAATTTTTAAATTTTAATTATACCATAAATTATTACTACAATACTGGAATAATCAAATTGCTTTGTATATAATAACTAAATACATTGTAATGTGCAAATAGAAATTTTATATTCATTCATAAATCTGTTCACAAACATGCACAAAAATGCAAATGAATGACGTTGTTGTTACCCAAAATAGAAGTAAGTTCACTAGGTTGTAAACTAGTATGTAAATTCTTCTTTTTGACGCTGAACATACATTATTCAACAATTACATTAGTATGCCATATAAACGCTAGTAACGAGCTGCGTAATATGGACCAATTCCAAAGACTTTTCTCTCAAATCTTCTGTATTACCTACTTATTTATCGATAAAACTGTTTATAAATCAATTATTACAATATAAGAGTTGATATTGATAATTAAGATTAATTATTAATTAAACTACCTAAGATATATTAATATATCACAATTCAAAAATTAAATATAAATTATTTATAAAAATATACAATTAATTATAATTCAATATATTAAAGTTAAAATAAAGAAATAAATTTTCACCGCAAAATTATGTTTTAACCATAAATTAATATTCAGAAAGAAATATAGGTAACAATTGCAAATATTTTCAGAATTTAAAGTTCCAAGAATAGGGGGTATCAATTAATACGACCTCCAGCACGTATACGGCCGATTCCATAATTACGAAAACATCCTGTTTGCATACTGCACAAAACAATAAAACACACCACCCAACATGAATATATCACCCAAGTAGCAAAGCACGGTCTGTTTCTGAATAGCATTGGAATATATCATTCTTTTGGTATATTAGAAATGAATGTTTCAATTTCATTCATTCAATGGTTAATTTGTAATGGAAATGTATGTTTTTAGTAAATTTATTTGACAGAGTTTATATACTAGAAAATGTTAATTATATAATATAACAAGCATAACAGAATTTGATTTTGAGTTGTAATAAGTTATGAAATAATTATATTGTAAATGATAATTAACAAACAATATGCATTTTCATTTACAAAATATCTCCCTTGTACGTTTAAAATAATAATTGCTTAGAATTCGTGAAAAACAGAAATAATATATATATATATTTTGTAGGGTTGTATTTTTAAATCTGTTATTTGTAAATGGTAATTATTTGTAAACGTTATGCAAATATGCAAAACCGCTCTTTTGTATGTTTCGAAATAACAATTGTATTCCCAATCTGTTACAATGTAATAAAATGTATGTAAAAAAAATGGTGTAATTATAATTAATTGAAGGCTTCTATATAAAATGAAAGAAACACGTAACACAAGAATAACCAGATTTCGTGAAAACCAGATGCATTGGTTCCGTGTGTAATAAAGCGGGTGTGTATTATTTCAACTATTATCTGGTCTGAATAGGAGATACGACAAAACGTTTACGTAATTGACCCGTAATTTACTAATTAGGTAACTTTCGTATACGATATTTATAAAGAAGGACACAGCAACAATAGCAAAAAGAAGACCAAAGAAATTCCCAGTGTATTTGTCAATGCAAGAAGGATTCGGGGCCGAAGAATTCCCCCATGGTATTGAGTAATTTCGTTCTGGAAAGCATTAAAAGTAAGAACAATCTCCTTGCGGCAGGCCTCGTCTCCTCGGCTATATCAGAGCGTTCAGGAAAATAATAAAAAAAAAGAGCGCCACGAACGTTATCGCTACGGGCGAAACCAAAACAAACCATACCCACTACCATCAGGACAGATTCCTGGGCACCAACCATCGAGCTGCTCGGAACCGTTCGGGTTCTTGAGCCGATGTTCAAAGCCACTTGTTGCGGGACCGCACAAACCGAATCCGTCAGTTGTTGTCGAGCTTTCCGAGCAGGCTTACGTCACTCTGGAGGCCGATTTTGCGCTCTGTTTTAATTTGACGCAAACGAAGGATCAACGTATTTCTAAAAGGAAGTGATGTTTTGAGTAATCGAAGTTTTCGCATATAGACAACAGTTCCGATTCGTGTTTTCTGGTTGAAGCTGTTGCTCTTCTGGTGGTGGTGTGATGGTTGTGATGTTGTACTTTGGGGCACAGATTGCCCGCGCAATGGATTATTGCATTTTATTAGCGTGTCTGGTGTGGGTGACATCTGCTACGATCATGGGAGACGAATGCGACTGGACAGGAAGGTGGGATTTAATACTCTTTTTTTTACTATATAAATCCTAACTAAGCATAATCGATTCGAAGTAAACCATTACACTACCAAAACACATTAAGTCTAATCAGATGTTTGAGGACCCAACTTCCTACAAGACTTGATGATTTTCAATTAGATTAAAACATATTTCTAATCGATTATCCACTTTGAAATTATTACTAACTACACATACTAATTAATGATTATATTTGTGCCAGAAGTAGGTATAAATACAGTTGGAATATTGATTAAAATAGTTATTCATAAAAAAATGTATAACTGCTTCATTTATTATGATTTGAAACGATAAAAGTAAGAACAAGTGAAACCAGATCTGTATCATATTTATTTGTATTTCGATGAATAAAATCAACATTTTCCGAGTATGTTTTGAGATGGAATTTATGGAAGCAATTGCCATCTTATCGTTGTGCTCTTACTCCTAGTCCACCTAACAGGTTTCTATGGAATTTTATTAATGCGAAATGATTGGTTCTGTAGGAATAGGAGCAAACCTATTGCGAAAGAACTGTGTTACACATAATATGCACGCAACAATATTTATATGTGATAAATAAGAAAACACCATTAAAGTCTCTTCTGGTTAAGAAAAGCTGTGCGAGAGTGAATGAAGAAATAAAGGAAGAGATAGAGATAGAAAATGGATTTTGTATATAAAATAAAATAATATTTGTGTGTGGATGCGACGACGTACAAGCATGAGACTCGTTTTATTTCTCACGTTTCGATCTTATGTGAAATTACATGCACATAGCTTGTCGCTAAAAAGAAACAAACCAAAACATGGGTAAAACAAAAGCAACAACAACAAACATTTCATCGTTGTTCTTGCTTTTCACAATGTTTTTTCGACTGTGTGCATCCCATATGAGCGTAATTGAACGTCGAAATCGAATTCCTTTGTAGGCCAGATTTTGCAGAAGAAGCACCAACAACAACCGACATCTGGCCCAAAGAAAAATGATAATATAAAACTGTGTGTGTGTGATCCGAGAGAATCGCGATTCCCAAGGCAGCTTCGTTTTGCTCCACTCTGGATTTTTTGATTGATGTGCTGCGAGAGGCACGTGGCCCAAGTTTGTTATGATCCCAATTAAAATTACACCCAGAATCCAAACCTTTTTGATTCGTTCCTATAATATATCGTTGATATTCGCCTCGGATGGGATTGTGTGAGTGTAATCTTGGCTTTGATCTGTTTCTTCGGCCTCCGCAAAAGAAGAGTGCTCTCTAGCGTTGGCCGATGATGGCGTGCTTGCCCAAGCACGAGCCGTGGGCTACACGTAACCAATGACATGTAAATTATATAAACCGGTCTTAGATGTGCATACTGGGCATTATTATTCACGTACGGGAATTATAACAAAAGAGGAATGCTATTACTGTGTGATCATATACGGAGCAAATTATCGCCCGCAATATTCTTCTGACACGCCTCAAACTACAGCTGAAGACGTTGGCGAAAACGGCTTTTGGAAAAAATATACGTCTTAGTTCGACTGAAATGGTCTTATAGGAAACTCGCAGTCCAGTTTCTTATCTCAATCGAGAAAGCTAGAGACTAGTAATAAGTAATAGGAAGAACAAAAATAGAACGTCGGAGGAGATTTATAGACGTACTTAGCAGTAGTATAACCGCGGCATGTGCCTGCATTTGCGGAATTGTCTCGCGCCATGTACCGTTCCTCCATAGATTACAACTATTTTATCATTCTGTAACTAGAATAGACTTTAACACCACCGCAGTTTTTTTACCTTCTAAAATACCTCCTTAATTGTTCAACGATTTATTATATTCAAATTTGATTTTACAGTTTAAACTAAAAATAACGTATTAACTTTAATTATATTTAAAACAAATCTGCTTTAAGGAGTTCTAGGAATTCATAAACGAACCAAGAAAGGTGCTCTATAAAAATGTAAATAAAAACATGTGACGTGAAATTTGATCCCAATGAGTAAAATGCAGTGTAAAAAGAAAGAGCGACAAAATACAAAACAAACACGAGGCTTCATCAAATCAAATCGAACGGCTTAATGAGAAACTACGATTTGTAATTATGAGCATGAACGGCCGTAGAGTAAATATTCCGTTGCGGTCTTCGACGTCGTCCTTTTTATTTAATTTTCAAGCACGTTTTCCTCCTCGTCGTCCTGAGCGAGCGAGCGCGCAACGTAAACGTTACCAGATTGGAAATACATATATTTATTTTTACGTCTCGTTATCTTGTATACATTAAAGGCTCTTGGAACAATGGGTTAGGCATTCCTTAAAACGGCATTAAATGACGGAAATGGTTTGTTTGCGCGTGCGACGACGACACAATCCTCTCGAGCTGCGCTTCGAGCCGTAAGGAAATTATGATTATCAAGAGGCTAGCGATGTGTTCGTAGCCATCGAGAGTGGCTCGTGCCCGCGGAGAACTAGTTTCATACCAGTTTACTTACATGAAAGAAGAGGCTCTCTTAGGCTGAAGCCCAAACCAGAGATCGAATATAATTTACGAGGAAGTTTTGCGGTCGATGCATCGGTATTGTGCTTGGGTTGGAGGAGGAATATGAATATAGTTAGTGTGCATTTTATATATATATATGCATGTCCATTACATTATAAGGGCAATAAAAGTCCAAGACTCGCTGTGTATAATTTACGATCGGGTTCTCCTCTCTCCTTTAGGGCTGCAGGCTAAGTGCACTCGCTCGCGCGCTAATACCTAAGCATCCACGGATAAATCATTAATCTAAATGTCCCCTACTTCGTTTCAATGGGATCGACCCATTGTTGTCCCAGGTAGGAGGAACAATCTATTTAATTGCTCGTCCATCACTGGGTGCATTCCCAATTTCCATTTCGGTCTTTCAATCCTTTTTTTATATACATATAATTTATCATATTGCAATCACAGTTTCCTCTTCGGAGTGCAATAAAAATAAACTCGATTTTGACCGCAAGATTCGAAACGGTCTAATGATACGTTAGAGGTAACCCTTGGCGAGGAGACGATGGACGAGTAAATGCTAACGCTCCGGTACGTACATACTTTTCACCGTGGGCGTCGCATTACATCCATAAATTCATATAAAGTTACTACGGATTTTATCCTGCGGCCTCCAGACTGGACTCGTGCCCAGATTATGCGAGTGGGCTTCGAGTTCTTTTTATTAATTAATGTATTTTAATTATTGAAGTTGATGTTTCTTTTTTCTTCTGATTCGCTTCAATCGTCGACGGGCTTTCAGGGTTGAGAGAAGACTTGCTGAGTTAAGATTTTTTTTAACCCGCTATCTCTCTAAAATCCATTTCAGTCGATAAGTAGTCGAGTCATGGTGCGGCCTTTGTGTGATACCTTCAATTATTGGTTATGCTCGTGGCGGGCCAAAGGCTCCGCCCTTTTAATACCTTCGGTTCTTTGTGTCGTTTCTGTATGCAACTGAAAGTGTATTATTGATAAAAAGACAATGGGGCCGTTTTCTTGATATTGAAATCGATTTGTAACAGTGGGGGTGGACAACAATGCGAGAGCGTGGGCCGCGGGAGGCCGTGGACCCAACCCCGACTTGTCACACCGTAGGGCCCACTACAATAGGCGTCTCCATATTAAGCACCTATATAACAACACACCAAGAGAGAGAACAAGTAACGTTCTTGATGTCCTCTTCATGTCACGGTCTGCCCACGCGGACCACCTCCATAATCTATTACGGACCCGAGCTTATAACCAGATTCACTTCGATAAAAAGAAAAAATCATAATTTTATTCACATATTCCTACACAACAGCAACAACAACAACAGCATCAACAAAAACATGTGAGCATACCTAACCAAAAGAAATGATGATATGTCTCAGCGACGTACGAAATGTGGCAGCAAATGTTTCCAATTCCACCCTAAGAGCATTAATAAATCAACCCCTCTCGGAAAAATATCTGTCTACATATGGTTACGTTGGGTGAACTTGAGAACCCTGAACTGTCCTTCCGTGAACTCATCGCTTCGATATTACAAAACGCTTGCTCCTATTTGCTCGATATTTCTTTTTCTTTTTTTTTTTCATCGAACCGGTCACGTTTTTCTGTTTATCCAACAGTATTTGTTCGTGATACCAGAGACCCAGATTATGTTCCATAGAGTTTATATTTGATTTGACGTTTTATCACTGCGAGCAAATACTGGGAAATGGGTGCGACAAATATCACAAAATCAATTGCAAATAGAAAAATAATAATGATCGCCGGTGAACTTTGCATATGCATGCGTGCTCCAAGAGTCGCGAGAGGGGATGGTGATATTATGTAATTGCGCTCGACGCGGCACGAAGTTGTTGTTTGTTGTGTAGCGGCAACCCTGAGAGGTCAACGTTTCGCAAGCCATTTACAAAACTAATCAGTGCCTGAATTATTGGTTTTGATCGGCCGAGGACAATAAGTCGTGAATCACACCTCGCTCGGAACTGGAGAGAACAATAGAATTGGGTTTCAACCCTTGCTCGAAAAAAAGGCAAGAACAAGAGTAAGGAAAGGAAGGACGATGAAGAAGAAGGGATTAAATTGTAGCAAATTTTGCAATCATCTTTTATAATCTTGTCTTGGGTTTCATTCTGGCTGATTGTGGAGGATATTAGCCGAGAGGCGCGCGTTCGGCTCCTGGAATTGGTATGAGTTTACCATAAAATTAACATTTCATTAAAGCCATTCCTCGGAAGACGGAAAATGTGCTCGTCCGACTAAGAGCTTTTGGCGGGATAGGGGTTTCAGGTTTCTGTGGTCTCCGAACATATGTCACCGGCAATCTGAGTGTATGTGTCTCCGAAGAGCTTTTTCCAGTCCCAACAATTCCTCGGTCGTTCCGTGCGGTTAATTAATAAAGTAGGCGATTTATCTATTGGAAACTTTGCACAAAAGCGTGTGCATGAGGCGAGGAATGAAATGTTAGGTTCATTCGTTGGCTGTTGCAGTATGTAGGCGCGTTTCCCTTTAGGGCACTCACGGTGCAGTTGTGTTCGTGACCGCAGCTCGCCAACCCCGTTACTTAGTAAAATTAGCCAGATTTACTCCTTCACACATGATGCACGCCTCTCCGGAGCCAACAAAAAGAACGAAACCGGCACACGTGATTTTGCAATAAAAATTATTTCACCGCGTGAAAGTAGATTAGAGTGAAAGTGTAAGATGTAAGATCATGTGAATTAACAACAACGACGAACGGGTTCCGATCGTCTACGAAACAGCTACCAATTTCCCGTGCAACGGTTATTAATTGATACCAGTTGGCGGATAAAGGCACCAAAAACAAAAAAAAAAGGAAGACATGAACGAGGAATGGCAATGCAAATTGCTTTTCATTAAAACTCGGTCCAGAAATCACAACGAGCGCGCGCGCCTACAGTTTCTGGCGAAAACCGAAAACATGATTTCACCTCAACGACATCGACCGACAACCTAAATTACATACGACCGATGCACTTACATCCACCTCAGACAAAGTATACAATCCGATAATTACAATTATTAACATCGCCTGCACTTAACCCGCTTTCAAAAAGCATCTTCGGATTTTCGAAAACTCGACTCTCAAATTGCTTATTACGCTAAACGTGATTTTCCGACAACCGACATAATGCATTCCGAATTTTGCGTTAAATTTAAGATGTTATTTGCATAACAGCCGTTACAGCTAATGGTATCTTAAAGGAAACATTATACGCGCCTTGCCTTTTTAAAGGTGGTTATCGGCATTAGTATGCTGGTGCTGAGGAGTGAAGACTATTAGATTCCTTAACGAGATATGATAAGCATTACCAAAATTGGAGCAATTTCGCTTGTGGTAATTGGGTGTTGTTTTATAGATTTAGGAGCTGAAATGTTGGTCGGTGTAAGGTGTCGAGTGGACACCGGAGCATGTAAATTTCTGCAATCGGAGACCGCTCATTACGGACCATCTCGGACGCATTCCCAATTTATGATTTATGTTGGCACCCCTCTTGTAAAAACGAGCTTAGCCCCGAGCTTTATTGCTCTGCTCTCGACTCGGCGCTTTCAAATTACAGGCCCTCCGCCTGCCATACGAAAACGAAGAAGTGGACGGAAAATGGAAAGATCCGCTCTAATTATGTGTGCGTTAACGTCCTGGAATAAATATTATTACGAGCACGTTTCGCAATAAATATCTTCCGATGCAGATTTTAGTATTTTTGTTGTTTTCTGTACGTGTATGGTGGCATGCACAAAGGAATGATAGCAGTTATTACATTAATAATTTTCATAAATGCATGCAGTGTTTTGTGTTTGTGTCTGGACGAGTATGTATGTTGAAATCGTGGCCGTGAACGGGACCTTATGGTGCGTGGGCCGCAACCATCATCCTACAATAAGGGGGCCGCATTTTATTTATTTCTTCTATAGCCCACGGTAAAATTCGACCAGTCTTAGAAGCGGGACCACCTAAATTTGAATATACCAGTTAATTGCTGAATGGAAGGATTTAGGTTTTCCACATGTTCCGAATGAACCTTTCTATGTTCCAACGAAAGAAAAAAAGGGCTAATATTAAGGGGGAAACATAATCACAACGGGGTACGCTTTAAAGCATTCGTCCACGTGAATGCCATTTCTCTTAACCCTTTTTTTATATTATGGCTCGCGACCCGTCTTCTCTTAATGCACCCGATAATAACACATGTTAAGAACTCTGAAATTCCCATGTTAATGGACTCGTGATTCGAAGACACACGTTTGATAAAACCGTATCTGTTAGAAACGTCGGATACTAAGTAGGAAAGATACAGTTTTTTTCTTTCTTTCTTTTCTCGACATCATTAACGAATCCAACAGTAAACTATAATATTTAAAAAAAAATATGTATCTGGCTTCGCAGGAGTTTTTAAGAGTTGCCATTTGATATTTACATCCTGTGCGTGCAGAGAGTGCATTCTCCGTACACATTGTTATTCTTTATTTTTCCCTTCTTCTGCTTGCTTAGAGTCCTTGCTGCGGCGTTTCAATTTACCCTTCCTTAAGTTTCCTCGATCGTCTACTAAACGCGCGTATTGGCCATGCAAAGCGGCGTAGATTGCGCCCGTAAAGGGCACCATAGCCCTCGAGCCCCATAATGCACACATGAATTATCGAGCCATTTGATCTGGCATTTCGTGTGCTGGTGGCTGTTATCTGATCCCGAAAGAACGTTCAGGTGCGCATCTTACCTCGTCTTCTTCCTTCAAGGAAAAGAAAGAACAAAAAAAATTGTAGGACGAAACGAAAACAACACCGTAAGAAGATTAAGAAGAAAAATATAAAACATAAAAAACTGGTAATAAGAACGTTGTCGCCCGATGCGGAGCGTTTGCGTAAATTGTTATGTAAAATAACCGGATTAGAATGGACTCAATTGTATTAAAGGCGTGGTTTTAATCTTTGGCGAAGTGAAACTGAGCTACTTTTACTATTGAGAAAAGTACTAAAAGTGGCATGAAAAAAGACCACGACATCATCCAACGTATGGAGTGCTTTGAAATCCGCAATTAGCGTTGTGTTTGTTGATAGAAGAGCATTTAATTAATGACTTGTTTTTATCTCTTTTAAATTGGTACAATACTTTCAATTAAGAAAGAAAGCGAATTCGATCTACAAACCTGATATTCTTATAGCATTCGTGATACGTTTTTTTACTTACATAAGAGCTGAATAAAAAATCGATTGTTACAAAATATGTTTATATTTATATATTATAGTATTTAGTATTTTAAATAAGTTAGTGAGACTGTATGATTAACGTGTTTCTTGTTTTGTAATTGCAGTGGGTTGAGTTTGTCGTCGACGGGTCGTGGAGTGACCCCGGTGTATCTGAGGTGCACCGCCGGTCGGATTTCGTGGCTCTACCCACGGGGCGCCCTCAGGGTCTTGCTGAGGGTCCCTGGACAAGATCGGGACTTCAGGGCGTGCATTAAAATGCACCCAGACATAGGAAACAAAGTGCCTGCACGTCTTTTCCTGGAAGGACCCAGATCGCTGCTGCCGCTCTATTCGAGCGAGGACGGTGGAAACAAAATAATGAGGTAAATAAACGACAAACCCGAACTCGAAGCAGCAGCTCTAACGAATTTATGTTTTCTTCAGGTGTTTCAATAGCAAAAATGGCCAAGTCGCTATTTACGTGGAAGCCACGGACGGCGAGAGTGTGAATAAGCGGGTGGCGGATTTCGAATATGATTTGCAACCATTGCCGAGAGGTTCTCATCGTTTCGATCCTAGCGAAGGTACGCACATTTATTTTTTATTTAAAAATTGAACGCAAACTAACTTGTTCATTTTATATTTTCAGAATGCAGACCTTGTACCAAGGAAGAAATGGCGCACGCCTTTTGCACCAGCGATCTAGGTAGGTTTTCTTTACAAAACATATTTAAAAACCCCCCGAGTTGTAACAAAGTCGAGAGAGAAATAACAACAGTAATTTAATTTTGATTTAATGAATCCGAAGCGGTTTCTCTCGTTCCCGTTGTTACAAAAGCACATAACACAATAAAGTCGCCGCGGGTGTCTGGCTTCGTTTTATATAAATTGTCAGTCCGATTCTTTATTTTTACCTCTTATTTATGACTGCCATCAAGGCACACGTTGATTGTCTTCGGAGATCAATAAAGTTGCGTTAGCCATAAAGTTTATTACCGAAAACTGAAGAGCTAAAACTACGAAAGCTCACCCACCACATCCATAAAACGGAGTCTTCTAATCTTATCTCTCCGAATGCGTGCTTTATCACCGAGTAAACTTCAACGGACCTGCATTCTAAATATTTGCTTTCTATTGCAGTTACGAGAGGTATCATCAGAGGTGTCGAGAATCAGGAGGATCTGGAGCTATCGCAGATGATTGTGAAGGTTACAAAGATGATCAGGCAACCGACAGAAGATGACGATTTCACCATCGAGACGAATTCCATCGAGAGGTTCGGCGAAGAACGAGAGATACAATTGAATGTCGCTCAGCGATGCGGGGTTTCCCATGGGGTTGGAGAGTTCGTGTTCATGGCCAGGAGGAAACTCGGGGAATTGACGCTCCAATGCGCCCCGAGATTGGAGGACTGGGCTTTGCTGATGCACTCTCTCACCGAAGAGGGCAAAGCGCATTGCGTGCTCAGCAGCTAGCCGAGATTGTGCCAAATCATTAATTAGAAACAAAAAGAAGCTTCTGTGATTAGAATTTAGAACAGGAAACGTGCTTTTTTTCGGGTGCAATACAACTATCAACGAACGAACGAAAAGCAACGAAGTATATGGGATTGAGCGAATGCGCGACGTTTTTTTTCCTGTTAGTGATCTGCTCCATATTGGAGATTTATTATCTGTATAAATTATAATTTTATTCTGTAAATGTGTACATTAATATCAATTAATATATGTTACTTATGAACTTCGTGCTTGACTAATTCTGTAAATCTTAAATAATTTTAGTAGCTGAAAACGATTGAATTCCAGGTGCCAAAACAGCTTCTCTCTTAATCTTAACTTAAAACTAAGAAAAGTTACTAACTTTAAATTAATAAACGAACCACCTAGAAATCCCAATACTACACGGATCTTATAAATGTATCAACACATATTGTATAATAACAACACACGAATAATTGTGTAATTTCGATCTCAAATCGTTCTACTAATAATTTTGCGAATATTGTGAAATCAGGTTTACGTTCAATTTAAAAGATTGCTCGAACGGTTTCATTCTATTATTTTATTCTCTCATTTATGTATAAATACTATTTGTTACTGTTGTGTGCGAATGCAGGTAGATTTTAATATGTTGTAAAATGAAATGTTTTTTTTTTTGCTTAAATGTGAAGGCCATAAGAGTCGTTTTCTGTTTAAACAGAATCCTGTGATATGTATAAAAATATATATTTTATTATTATATTTGATGATGTGAAAGATTATTCGGAAGAGTCGGAAAGAAAGAGTGTAATTGTTTTTTTTTATATATATAATTAAATAAAAGATTCTATATTTTATACAAATTATTTACTGCAGTATATTTATTCGCTTATGCGTTTATTCCTTCTTAATTTCCAATTGCATTTTCCTGTTTACCGTTTTATCTCTCCACGAAAACTTATAAGAAAGCGCCTACTGGCTAATTTCGTACTTGGGTTAATAATGCAATTAGATGTTATGAAAACCCACTACATCCAATTCCACATAATGATGTCATCATTTAATTAAAGAAATTAATAGAGATTCGCATTCGTGCTACGCATTAAGTCATAATCAGCGAGTGGACGTAATCACGTCCTTTTATTTTGCGCTCTCAATTCCGTCATAAACATCAATGAATTGTTCTCGAAGTAAATATCATCTGAATTAACTAACTAACACGCAATACTACCCAGTATTCATTTGACAGTTTAATATTCTACATTCAAGTGTTTTATTTTTTAATAATGTACAAAAGTTTTTGTTAATTTTCTTAGTAATAATATTATTTTTTTATATTAAATACTCGCATTTTCGTGTGAAAATCCACACAATCTACCTAAGCAGTGCCTAACCGAAAATATATTATTTATCTTAGTGAAACGGAAACGTATGAAAACATCAAGCACTTTTTTAAGTATTCTGAAAAAACGGCCTTCCCATGATTCCAATATCAAAAATAGCGATACGAAACTCCCGGCGTCTAGTTCCTGTGTAATTGATACTTACACTATTCAAATCTGAATTAAGATAAGCATACATAAGTCGAAACAAAATTAACGTATTAAAAAAAATATATTTCTAAATTATACTGAAAAACATAATAAATAATTTATAGAAGTTATGCTTATTAAAAACATGTTTTTTGTATAGACTTTATTTCTATATATTTTAAACAATACACAAAAAAAATAATCCTTTTCGGAAATCAAAATTGATTCTCTTTAGTTTTATTTTTAAACTGTTGCTTATTTATCCTTGTTAAAGATTGAAATACGCTAAAAGAATGCTGGAATAGTAGATAAAGTATGTGAACGGTCATCAAAAACACCCAACTAAGTGCTGAGTTGCTATTCATGGCCGGATGGTGTTAGCAGACACAAAGAATTACCGCCTCGACGGAAATCGAACCCATCGACGTTATCTCGCAGATCTTAGAAGGGCTTCAATCTTATCATTTAAAAAAACCCTTGAGAAGCAAAAGAAATACATTTTAAATCTCAAAGTATTTTTTTTAAAGTTTTTTACTAGAAATTGAAGAAGAAAAAAATACGAAATATACACTTGGTTCTCTTTTTATGCGGTAGATACGTTCCACAGGAAAATGCATAAAAATAAATCGCACAAAAAAGGACTAGACACACGTGTAAAAATAAAGGATACGTTCCATAATTTTTTAAAACCGCATAAAACTAAATCAATGAGTTACAATATACCTAAAATCGCTTAAAAAATTGTTTATTAAATTTCAGAAAAATAATTAGTCTTACTATATTCTTTCTGAAATGTTTATTCATAATTTTATAAAAACGTTAACAATCATAGACAAGTTTATTAAATTTCAGAAAAATATAATCTTAACACATTCCTTCTAAATTTATAAGGAAAAATTTTACAAAATAAAACACAGAAATTTTTTATGAAAGTTAATCTTTCTTCACATTTTTTTCTTTAGAATTATCGTCGCTATATGAGAGTGTTCGGCATAATTTGCGAACTGGTTCGAAATCACTTTCATCACTAGAAGAGATAGTCAGCATATCAGATCTAAGTCCTGAAGATAATGATTCTTCACAAGTAAAATTAGTCTCAACTTCGCATGTTGAAGTACTTGTTTTTCATTTTATTGAAACTATAATATGTATATACATTTGTAAATATTGTTACTCATATTTCATAAACTTATCTATTTGAATTATGTAGATTATCATATTCAGAAATTTATACGCATTTGTCTTAAAAAAATATTTTTTATAATTGTCTCATAAATGTACATTTCGTTCAGTGCACATTTTTAAGTAAAAAATACGGGAATTTACTGGATTATTGCATATTAAATGGAGTCAAAATCTTGACTGATAAATATAAGACTTAGTGTTAATATCACCAAATTAAATCCATATACACTCATAACGAAATCGACGAAGAGGATGTTAGAAATGTTTTGAATGAAAAAGATAATGTTTTTTCAGAGGTAGATTTGAAACAAAAAAGTGAACAGACAAAGATTTAAAAAAGTGTTTCAGTGACCGAAGCTATTTTAGCAATAGTATTTTTATGAATTTTTGCTTAACAACGTAATTTTGTGGATCGCACGAATATTCGTTCATCGAGATACAGGCATACATTGTTCAAGAATACAGTGAAACCTTAACGAGCATAAACCGTTCCAAAAAAATTCTTATAGTGAAACAATTTTCCCCATATCAACTAATTCTTACAATTTATTTTGCTGGTTAAGTGAGGTTCCACTGTATTTGAGTTTTCTACAAGTTAATTCACTTTTCACTAAAGTATATTCTTAACTCTATACATATTTATTTTATTAGACAGTATATAAAAGTATTAATAACTGAAAATTTAAAGTTAAAGTAAAGTTAATGCAATAATATTAGTCAAGAATCAAAGTAAATATAGACTTAAATATTTTAAAAACAATATATGCAACTCTTACACCATCAAAACTAATACAGACGCAATATAATTAATTACGTTTTAGTGCCGCTAATTGCTTTATTGATTTCTAGTATGTTCATGCGTTCAGAAGAAGTCAAGAAAATTATAATCAGCATTAACCATAGGCAACTAACTATGCTACATAATTATTTTTTTTATGATTCATTACGATTTAAAATTAATTAAATTTCAAATATAACAAATAATATTCTCTAAAAATAATTAAATATTTCGACATTTACATTTTTCGATAGTTACATTTTTAAAAAAAAGTTATTAATTATTTTTTAATTAGTATATTTATTAACAATAATAGTAGACATTTCTAAAATATTTGATAATAGAAAATTGTATAATAATTATCATTTTCACATAATTAATGTTATTTAATTAATTGTATATATACAATTAAATAAATGGCTTAGCTTAGCTTGATTAATTTGAGTAATATTTGTTTATATTATTATTTAAAATATTAATAATTTTATAACATATTGTAATGTCTGGTAATAAAATATACATTTGTTTGAATTTCTTCCTAATTGAAAGTCCCGAGTTGACAAATCTTATATGACAACCATCCAAGTAGTGTTTACGATAAGTGCTGCTTAACTTTCGAAAACTTAAGTACAATGTCTTAAAAAAAAATCATTAAAGTTGATGTTGATACTTGTTGATGAAATACATTGTTCGGCGCGTGTTTGCTTGGTTGCGTGGGGATACCCAATAACTGGACGCAACAACCAATATATAACTGTATATGACCTAATCTTGTCAGTAAGTGTTTGACTCATTACGTTGGCAGTACTTGAAACTGAATATATACTTATAACAAATAATATAGCTAATGATAGATGTAAGGTTACTTGAAGCTTTAACAGTAAATGCAAATCTTATGAGCTGTTCGTTTCCGACGAATTATTAGGTAATCAGTACATTTAATATTTCCTAACAGTTACATTAAACCTTGTTTAAGAGATGGACTTAAGTAGACCGAAGCGTGATAGATCAGCGAACTTCAGCAGTGAAGATACTCATATGCTGGTAAATATCATATACAAATATGCAACTATAATCGAAAATAAAACCACAAATGCGATAATGTGGCATAAAAAGGAAGAGGCGTGGAAAAAAGTTACGGCGGAATTTAATGCTTTGCGGTCTATGAAGCGAACGGTGAAAATGTTAAAAATCAAATACGATGGTCTGAAGAGAGCGCTGAAAAAGAAAACTGCAACGAATCGACTTCAATCGTTGAACAATACAAATGATAAAGAACAAATAGCGCTTTATACAAATTTTGAAGAAAAAATATTGACTATGATGGCAATGGGTTTTGAAACTATGCAGGAGCGCGAAAATGATAAGTCACAAAGAGCTGTAACGCAAATTACTGCAAGTCAGAAAAATAACGTCACAGACTACCAAAATCTAAACAATTATACGGCGCCATTAAAACTAGTCACCGATATACAAGAAGCCAATAAAATCAACGGAAATGGGTATAGCTTATCAGAAGATGAAGATAAAGCAAATGACTGTATGGACTCTAGTTTGGACTCTTGGATTATGCAAACATCCACTAATAACAATACAGCACATGATCAAAATAATGTTGCACATGAAGATAAAGCTAATGATAATATGGATTATTCTTGGGATTTGCGAACTAGAACGAATTTATCTACAACACCTGTAAGTGCGAAAGTGAAACAAAGACAAAGTAGCATTACAGACAGACATAAAAATGTATCGATTTCGCGCAAAGAATTTAACGAAATAGAATTACAATTCGCGGTGGAAGAGCTCCGCAAGAAAGAGAAGAGTCTACGCATGAAAGAACAAGATCTTCTAAACAAAGCACAGAATCTCATCAATATTAGACAAAGACTTAACTCATCGAACGTTGATATTGAAAAGCAAAGAAAAACGCACGCGATAAAAGTTCTCAACAAACAGAAGCAATTGGAATTTTCTGTTTTGGAGAACGCACGAAGAGAGAAGGAGCATTCAATGGATATGTTAATCAAAGAAAAGGAACTCGAGTTCGCAATTTTGGAGAACGAAAGGAAGGAGAAAGAGCACAGAATTATGATGCAAATACTACAATATAAGTTATGTGATCAACAAAAAGAATAATATATTTATTAGTTATAGTTTATATAAGGCCAATCAAAGAAATGTAATATATATTTATTAGTGTTTATAAATATGTACATATATTTAGTAAAATTTTAAGTCATTCATAATATTTAGGCGGCTCGACTCATCTTTCAATTGATCCAATACTGTTACGGAAGTTGTTTCACAACATATAATATCATTTACATATTAAACTATATAGAAACCACAATGAATTAACATTCGCTCATTTAGAATAACTTTCCAAATTACGTAACATTATCCATTAACAGCGTAGGCAACATAGTATACGTCATTGTAATACTTTTAAAAATAAATACGGAGTTCACGCCAATTAAGTGACAAGTAAATTGTATTTGAAGATTTTTAAAATAATAATAATAATAATATATGATTTACAGTCTTATATGTACCTAGATTTGAAGTGTAATACAATATCTAATTTTTGTTTTTATTGTGGTTGCAATGGGATTACTACTAACTGGATAATGGTACATATATAATAGAACTTAATAACTGTTTACGTTATAAACTTGACGGTAACCGCTTGACTTTTTCTGTTGGTATTACTGAAAAGTGATTATATACTTAAAACAAAGGTTAAAAGTAAGGTTACTTGATACTTTAAAGGTAAATCCTATAAGAAAAATATTTTCGACAAACCTTATATTTTTTTAAACATTTATTAATTAACAATGTTTTAAGATATGGACATAGACAGACCGAAACGCGATAGATCGGCAAACTTCAGCAATGAAGATACTCAATTATTAGTCAATATCATATACAATTATGCAAATGTCATCGAGAATAAAACTACAAACGCGATAATATGGCACAAAAAGGAAGATGCGTGGAAAAGGGTCACGACGGAATTTAACTCGAGAAGACCTATGAAACGAACAATGAAAATGTTAAAGATAAAATACGAAGGTTTGAAAAGGGCCCTTAAAAAGAAATCGACGATGAGTCAACTTGAACCACTGAAAAATGTAAAAGAAAAAATATTAGCTATGAAAAAAATTGGCTATGAAAGTATGCTGCAAGATCGCGATAACAATAAAGCACAAGTTGCGCAAACGCCTGAAATTCTAAAATATAAAGTTACAGATGAAGAAAAAGTATTTATAGATCCATTCAACAAAAAATCGAACATACAAGCAGGGAATAAAATCATCAAATCTAAATTTAATGCGTCAGAAAATGAATTTAGAATTAATGACTCTAGTTTGGAGTCTTGGGACATGCAGACTGCTGCAAATGACAATACAACATACAAGGTAGAAACTGAAACAGATGAAGGCAATGCTGATGATAGTATGGATTATATTTGGGATTTAAGAGCGACAACTTCCGCAAATGCGAAAAATGTCAAACAACAAAATAACGTTGCAGTCAGGCTTAAATGTGATTCTGCGCTTTCTATACCGCATAGTAAAGAATTGAGTGATATAGAATTACAAATTGCGATACAAGATCTTCGAAACAATGAGAGAAACCATTATATTAATGAACAGGATGTTTTGAACAAAGCGCAGAGTTTGACCAATAATAAAAATCGATTGAGCACATCTAATTTCGACTTTGAGAACGAGATGAATGTGCAAGCGATTGAGATACTTGCCAAGCAGAGACAGCTAGAGTTTTCGATATTGGATAATGCAAGGAGAGAAAAGGAGCATTCTCTCACGATGATCGCCAAAGAAAAGGAACTCGAGTTTGCTATTTTGGAAAATGGAAGGAAGGAGAAAGAGCATGCGATTCGAATGCGAATATTACAATATAAATTGCAGAGCATTCAGCAACAATAATAAAACATATCTCTATTTATTCTTTTGTTATGTTTTTAAATAAATAAAAAATATATTTGTTAGTGTTTGTATTAATTGTTTGTTCATGTATCCATGAAAGTTAAAAAGTAAAAGGGTAGTACTGGGATGGGTAGCCAATAACATTTATCATATCAGGACAAATTCATACACGCATTAACATACTAAAACCATGGTTAATATATATAAAGCAAGCAAAATTTGAAGAAATAAAAATTTCAACATCACATTATTACCAATTTTTCTTAACAACATTCAGTTAACGCGAAAATGTCTACATGTTTATAACTTAATCATCATTTATAAAAAAAAAACTTACCGTCATTACAAGATTAAATGAAAAAATCCAAATAACCTAAATACTAATCGTTGCTATTAACTGTTACATTGAAATTGCAATACTTAATTATTGTTACTTAACTGATAGCATTTCTAAATCAAGATAAGTACGTATATAAAACACGTGCAAATTTTAAAATCTATTTTTTTTAATGCAATTGTTACTAAGTCATCCTTTACTTTAATGTTAATCATGATGGACCAGTTTCCCATATATCTCTAGTGATCCGCGCTCAACTCAAAAATACTTTGAAGATATCCACAACCAACTTTTCCAAGGAACTTGTTCAGAATAACAAAACAAACATTGACAATACAAAGATGATATCTTTTTTTTACCTAATATTAGTAGAAATAGGGTATGTTGGTTGCATACAACGCAAACGACAATTCAACAAGAGACGTTTCCACTATCTCTATTGTAATTAACTAGACAACTTATTATGTTCAATACATTAATAATACATGTTTTTCTGTAATATTTGAAAAAATATTTAGCTTATAGATAATCATAAATAATAACGATTTTACAATTAATACTCATTCAGCTTATACCGCGGAAAAGATAATAATAGAACTGACACAACATTTTTTTCGCCAGACATTCTCAGCCTTTTCATCATACTTTGTACAAAAAACTTGATTCAATAGAATAATTAAAAATAAGGGTAAAAGGTCGTAATAATTGTAATAATAGAAAATATTTTAAACCAGATGATGTATATTTTAGATTTGATTAAGAACTACGTTAATATTATCTTACGAACTGGAATTTTTGGTACTTTTTGGAAATTGTAGAATCACATATTTTACGGAATATCATAGAAAATGGAAAATATTAACGATGTATTAAATTATCTATAAATTTAGGAAAAAAAAAATTCACACAATATAAATTGTAAATAATTTATTTATACTTTTATAAAATTATATTATTTTACTTACAGTTCGATGATTACCATAACATATAACGTTATTAAAAAATTTCATGAGCCATAACCAACCACGTATATGCATTTATATAAATTTGATTCCTCATCTGATCAATATAATTGGAATGTAAAAGATTTTCTTCTCGGAATTTCGATTTACTTAATAATCTACTAACACTACAAATATAAAATCACAGACAGTTTGGAGTTTGAACCTGAATGCGTCATTTGCATTTACAAAATATACACAAGCACGCAAAAATAATATACAACATTTGAAACATAAGGAAACAAACTTGAAGAAAGTAAACGATATTAACAGTAATAATAATTAATAGTAATAATAGTTCTGTGATTCAATTAAAACATTCGGGTTAACAATTCAAGACATTTTCAAATAAAGTATTAAAAAAAAGAATATTGGATTGATTAATGAAATACTAGAGTAAACAAAAGTATAAAAGAAAATCTGTGGAAGGAAAAATAACGAAATCGGCGCGCACAAAAATACTATCAGTCTTCATACTTCTTCTCGATTTCGTAGATTGAGTTGTAATCGATTGGATTTCAAACGATTGTGGAATAAACTTACATATATTCTATGTCAAACTAAACGCAATTTGAGCACTCAATATACTATAGAAAACTACCCGTCTATCCATCATTCTTAATAGGTCGTGTAGGATTTGATTTGTTTTAAGGATTCTCGTCGATGCTTGTACTGGAATTCGAGTCGGATATTGATGAATCTCCAGCGATTTCGACTTTACTGTTGATCTCTTTCTTAACTGACCATTCCACGCAGACGAAGCAAATTGTACCAATTACAGCCAGGAACAGGAGGACTCCCAATTGGATGTAAAGTCCTATATGCGATGCATAGAAGAAGCAAGCTGCAGCAGCCACGGACTAGAATATAAAAAAATACGAAGAAACGATTAATTAAGTAAAGCAGTAAATGTAAATATTGATTTATATTCTAGTTATTTAATGTTTGCACATGATATCTCTCATTCCTCAAGCAATACTTTTTTCCTAATCTATCTAGGTTGTTTGTGATGTCCCGCCAATAAGAACGTATTGAAATAACGAAAATAAAAGTTCTACACAATTGATTTCTCTTATATAAAACTACTGATTACTACACGTTGTTGCGATAAGAATCACTTGAAGAACGTACCGAAAAAAAGAAATCAAACTATCTCCTTTATCTTATTTTTCTGACAACATTTACCATTTGATTGCATCATACTAATTGTATAACTCAATGAAAAACTAATGATATACTCTTCAAATATTATATTACCTGGATGAATTTGAAAATAGCGAATGCCGATGCACTGTCATCAGCATAAACGCCGCCAAGTATCGAGTAGATTTGGGTATTGAAGCAGGCGTCGCCGAAACCAAGAAGGAATGAGCAGAAGATCGCCAAAGGTGCGTTGCTGGCAATGAAGGCTGGTTCACTTGTACTTCCAAAAGGAGAAGTATTTGCTAAGTTCAGGAATATCAAAAAGAAGGCTATCACGTGGATTATGAAGCCGCACATGACTATCGGATCTCTTCCCCAACGGGTCGTTTTTGCTCCCAGAATACCGAATAATGCACCACCTAAAGAACATCGTTACAATTTAGTTACTTACTTCTAAGGCAATTAATAGAATATTACCCAACACTTCGCCCACGCCTATGAATATTCCGGACAATCCTACAAGTTGTTTGGCAATTTCACCAAATTGATTCGTGAAGCCTATACTGGAGCTGTATACACCACTATAGAATGATAACTCAATTCCTGTAAAAAATATTATTTTTTAATTAAAAACCAAATGAAATAATAATAAATTTATAAATTTTACTTAAAATATACTTCTTGTTAAAAATATACAAATACAAATAAAATAAAAATTTTGAACAAACTAAATTATAGACTTATGCATATTAAGTTTCTAAGTGCAATACTGTCATATAAAATAATAGCTATAATTAATTCAGTCCTTTATAATGTTATATAAGCCATGTATAGTATAATTATGGATATAAAGAACATAAATACAGCAGTAGAATACATAATTGATATAAACAATAATATGTATAAAAATCTCTTTACTGTTATTTTTCAATTCATTATTTGCAAAGTGATGGCATATTATTAGAATAAGCAATTAATATTGCATTACAGATTTACGTTAAGTAAATATAACGTGTGAACTAAAAAATCAATGCGAAATAAATATGAAATAATAATGAGTTATTTCAATATTTGTAAATGAATTTATAAAAAAAGTTAACAAAAAATATATAAAGTTGCGAAACTGATTTATTCTACGTTATATTTATAAACTATATGTTTACTTTCTATAAAGCTTCTATAGCCTTGATTAGGAATGTACAAAATTTACGCGTGCAACGAAACGTCATATGCTATTCACTAGGAGTGAAACGACCTTCGCCTAGTTCTTGAAATTCTAGGAGAATCAGTCAGACACGAGCAATAAAGAAAATGCATCAAACGAAACCGTAGCGAAAAACAAAATCCCCCGTTGGAAATGTAATCATGCGGTTTTGCACGCAATATCGAGAATTTAAATTAGTAAAAATAAAACATAAAATGTAAACATGGAAAATAAGAAAATTTAAAGTTACCTGTATAGAAGAACGTGAAACTGAGCATAATCATTCTTTTCGTTATGAAGAGACGACCTGCAGCTCTCAAAGCATCGACCGGCCCTTGAGGTTGAGCATCTACAACCGCGCTTTCTTCTCTTGGCGCTTTACGCAGAACGAGTAAAAGGAATACACCAAAAATTGCTATTGCGGATAACACCCATATGACTATAATCCTGGCTTCCTCGATAATAGTGTCCATCCCTTGGAATTGGAAATATACGAATAGATTTCCAATAAACATACTGAAAAACATGTCATGATCATTAAAGGTTTAAATGATGTAAAATGTGTGTTGAAAGAAATCGTGTCGGAGATGTGTTAAATATCGATTGTGCAAAAGGCGATGACTTCTCGGTCTTCGCCCGTCAGATTGAGCTGATAAACGATTGGTTTAAAATTCCAAAGGACGGATTGCGTACGAGAGATATTTATAAATTTAATTTCATGCATCCGCTTGCCATTTGCAAAATGAGGAAGTCCGATGAATGCCTGCACCTATATAATATGATTTTTGCGAGCTGAGTCCGAGAGCAAGGTCGCAACAGAAAGTATTGTCCTTTATATAAACAAACACCGAAGCATAATAAACACCTCGCGTGTTGTGAGGTGAGTCTTGAGTGTGCTGGATGGAGCAAATGAACATTCATTATATATGCTGTACCTAGCTTGGAGCATGGCCCAGAAAATACCGGAATTCCGGGATATCGTCGCAGGACTAGAATTCAGTGTCAGGTAGTTTCCTTGGCCCGTCCATATCATCGCGGCGCCAACACCTATCACAGCGCTGGCAAAGTATAGTAGCCACGTTTTCGGCAATAAAAATGTCATTATGAAGAATCTGCAAAACGAAAGGATTGATTATTTTATAGGATAAATTTGTGGAATTTTTATACGTACAAATAAGTTACAGCTCCAAAAATCATAGCAATCTTAGGACCCGCCAGACTAATAGCAGATGGTGCCAACCAATTGCACACTGCAAATACTGCATAAATGATGGCCAGACTTGTGTAGCCATCTCCGGTGAATTCGTTGTCATCGTTGTGTATACTGTCAATTATGGTTTTCTGTAACAAGAATTTATATAAATAATATGAAAAAAAAATCATGAAACAATAGAGAAATATTAGGCAGCTATTTTAAATTATACCTTATAATGTATCTATTAGTCATTTATAATTTAAATTCTAAAATATTTGATTTTCATAATTCACAACTCTTTGCTGTCAATTATAAAAAATAACGTATTTCGTAAATACCACTAAGATGTCTACTTGATAATTACAATTATAAGTAACGAGTCTTAACATTATACAATTAACACAAAATAAAAGTATTATGCTCAATGTTTTTTCAATAGATAGATAGTTAAAAAATGTAAACTTATACTAACATATTTTTGATTTTATATTTCAAGCAGTCTATTTTTTTGATCGATTTCCAACACGTTTTTGAACCACACCACTCTTGTTTCTAATGTCACCAACCACAACTGATTTTATGTAATATTTGAATCCTACAAGTTTTTATACTATTAAAACTATGCAAATGTTGTTGTTTTATATAGTAATAATATATTATATATAAACTTATGTGGACAAATAAAAATGACTAGAAAACAGAACTTTTTTATAAATTATATTTCATTTGGTTCAGCCTTTTTTATGGGTAAATTATTTCTTGTTTTATAAAATCCAATTTTGCTATATGTAAAAATGTTACAATAAAAAATATTATTATTTACAATCTGTGGAGCATAAACAATAAGTTGAATAAAACTTGTATAATATTTTTTAATTCATGAATATTGATTATTTGTATTTATAACTTGCAAAATATTGTACAACAATGAATGTTTAATAGTAAAAGAACATTTAAAGTTTGCTTAATAATAAGTAAAAGAAATATAAGAATAAAAATGCCAAAGAGATAAAATAAAGTGAAGGCTGATAGAAAGCAATGTATACGAAATACCAATGACTTGTATTGCAGAATATGGGGACTGTATGTGAAGTCATCTGTCTTATAGAAATAGAGCATTCCTAGATAATAATCATCATTTCTAACACACATTATGAATTTTCTAAACAAATTTATTTTTTAATTATAAATTTATGTACACAATAAATGTTAAAAGTTCAATCAAATAATGTCATTACAAATCATTTAAAGTTAAAATATGGTTATAAACATATGGTTTAAATATGGTCATAAAAATCAGCATATTCAACACTGTGGGTGTGTCAGCAGAGATTTTGATTCTAATATACAAAACTTCACCAAATAGTTTAATTTACTGTAGACAATTTAGAGCAAAGAGCAGAAATACTAAATGAATTTATAAATAGCCATTATAGTACAAATAATGCATTTAAAGAACAGTTGAGAAATAAAGGATTGACTTCATAAGAACGTATGATCACCGTACGTATAATGTTATGACCAATTTTATGAAATGTCGGTATGTTTGCGATACATTGGTCTCTTGTCATTTGGGATATTTAAAGATTAGTGAGACTAGTATAAAATTCCAAGTTCAAGAGTGCAGCTCATATATTATTGCAAAGCACACAGCATGAAAGATGCAATGTGCAATTCGCAAGAAGCGTGTCAATGGAGCAATGCGCGCGCTCCGACATTTCCATTTCAACCAACTGGCAATCACATGGAAAGGCATGTCCGCCGAGCCTCTCGATCGCAGCCAATGAGGAGAATGTAAATATTTATTCTTTTGAAATACTTTCTAGCTCAACACATACTAACAAACGTACATACCGCATATTCAACCAAAATCAAAACGAAATCATACCGCCTATAATGTACATGATAATTACAGTTGCGCAACGCCCGCACTACCATTGACTTACACCTGATTACCAGGTGAGTGAAAGTACACAGCCATATACGATAAACAAAAACAAGCAAAGAGTCAATAATAATAAGAACGAGAAATATTTGGAATGTTTTCTACTCCGGCCGTCACAGTTTGCCTGCCCTACACTCACGGATAATTAGCCCTAATGGCCTTCACTTATTCATACAAATAGTTATGAAATATTCATCAACACAACGCTATAATTTAATTTGAAAGCAAAACCATACGAACAACCGCATATTCGAAGCAGGGACGTGCCCGGAACCTTGTAATTCGAAATTCGAATGTTGTCTGTTTTCACTTAAAATTTTATATTTCAAATTTGGAATTCTACATTTTCGATTTTTATAAATAATAATAACTACAATTTACTTCATACAACAAATAATATTTTTAATTGTTTTTTTTAACTATATCTTAAATTTATCAAGAATTAAAAATGAATTCAGATTGAAGGCTGCAATAGGCCATCGACCCAAAGTCTTTAAAATGACCGGCAAGTCGACATTACTTACAAGAAGTAAATCTTAATTGGATTCAAGTAACATTGAACTTTTTTTATAAGGCTACTCAAACGCCTTTGTTTCGTTTATCTATAATATTTGAAAACGTTTTATACATTACAATTGCATTATCTAAACATATCTTCTTCAAGGAAGTACACTTGTTCATATTCTTTATCTTATAAATATACTTATCAGATAATAACAACAGATTTTCTATATTTATATATTAAATCTCAGAAATACCTACAACTTACAAATGAAGAAATTGAATTTAAAATTAATGAAACTTCTAGTTATCAAAACATTTTATGAACTACCAATGAAAATACAATAGAATCTTGTTTTAAGTCTCGTTTTTTGAAAAATTCGAACATAATTTAGGTTCACCAATAACCTGGAAATCAAGCAAATACGGTTCGAACATACTTTTGAGAACAAATTAAGCATACATGATATAGATATAATAGCTGATTAACTTATAATTTTAAATAAATAATATTTAAACAATATAATTTTTCAATTTATAAACAAGTTATTTCATATAATGATTGTATTGAAATCAGAAATATTTCAAGGCTACATATTAAACATGTTATTTCATGAATTACATTACTCTTAATATCGAATAATATTCAAAATAAATTACATTAATCTTTACTTAATATGATTTTTAAAAAAATTTAATATTTTATTATATAACAATAATTAGAAGAGAATTAATATTTGGATTAAATGTTATTATAAATAATAACTTTGACTATTTTGACCAACATAATTTTCAATTGGTTTTTTTAAATACTTTTTTTTGATCTTCTTGGAAAAAATAAATTGATGTGCCATCAAGTTAATACAGTACTAAAACACAGTTGAAATCAATTAAGATTTACATTCACTATTGAAAATCCAATTAGTGGGACGTTTCAGTATATCATAAAGCAAAGTGGAAAATTTTGGAATTGAAAATTGGAATTCCCTTTCTATTTCCACAGTTCTGTGGGCTAAATGAGAACAGCATGCCGAGTGATTGCCCGCAAATCGATTGATAATACGAACCACGTGGAAAAGTACCAAAGAACGCACATGCATTTCCAGTACTAAGTTCGCTTTTTTTATTATAATCTAATCGTGTCAGTGGAACAATTTAAGAAATAAATGAAACGTAAAATGTGGAATAAGTTTCATAACATAGTATGTACCGTATATGCGGCTGGAATACATTAGAACGAATTAGATAGTGTTTTTTCTCTACACGTTTTCTACTCTTGATTTCAGATTTCAAACGTACTAGGAAAAGAAAATGTAAAATTTAAATAAAATCAACTTTTTTTTTCTAGAAATATTATTTCGGTATTAAAGAAATTAAGAATAAAAGATTTTAAATGAAATTTTGAATTGTAGAGGAAATTTTTAACAAATATTAAAACTTGGAAATTGTCTATCCTTTTCGTGTACCATTAAATTCGTTATATGTTTACAAAAGTTGATGATCATCAATTAATTAGTATCAGCGTTGCTTAACTTTTAAATTAAATTAAAGACTGTTTCATTTGACAAAAAAAAATAAATTATTCTTAATTTTAAAATCACATTATGAATATGTATAAGTAATAATTAATATGTAAATTTCAATGTTTTATTCGTTATTATTATGGATTTGTTTACAATTTTCACACTATTTAAAGCGATGACATTGATTCGGTAAAATATAAAATAAAATCCGGATTGTAATTGCGTAAACATTCGGTGAATCGGACTCGAAAGAAAAAACGAATATACCGTTCAGTCTGTCGAAGAACCGAAGACGTCGTTACATCCTTTTCATGTCCGAATTGCATTACTGTTTGTTATGTGCCTCACGTCCTACAAGTGTCCATCCAGGCCTTGTTTTACGAACCGATAACCGTTCACTAACAAATCGAAATTACTCGTACGCTGCATTTCTGATTTACTTGAAAATTCATCGTCGTGACGAAAGTGGCAATTGTTGTTGACCATATGGAACATTTTTTAATTTTATCTCGATTAACGCGATAATGAAATATTGTTCGATAACAAACAACAATTCATTAATTATGACGTGCGTCTTTTTCCACCGATTTTTACATACATCCTAAATATAGATGTATGAAGCTTACCTACTACTTCAATCTAGTATAAATAAACATGACATGCTTCGATAAAACATAATTATAATCTATTACGCAACCATAACTTTAACAAAGTTATTTCTACTGAATTTCTTGTATATAAAAAAAAATTTCTTTATGTAATTCTTGACAAATAAAATAGTATGAAATCCAATTTCAGTAAAACATACATAGAATGAAATATACAATTTTTATTATTACCTTTAGCCAGATCTATTTATTTTACAAATAAATATATTTATTTTGATTTGCTTTTTTTAAACTGTAATTTAAGTTTTTGGCCAATAAATTATTATTCTAATATTTATTATTATTTATATTTAACATTAACTTGTGACAAATCTTCTAAATATAATTGCAAATATAACTTGTCAAGTGGATAATTATAATTCGTATTCAATATACAACAAACATTTATAACAAACAAAAATTTCCATAATCTATAAATAAGTCACGATATTGCAAACGAGATTCATCGTGAGACATTTCAAAATAAACACTGGTAAATATTTGCATAGAGATTCCAATTTAAAAAAATAACCTTTGGACATACATAAAAAGTGTTTGTTGTTCAACAGTTAATAGACTTCGTTTTATTAAGTCTCAAATCCAATGTATTTTGGAGATTTTTGGAAAATGTGAACTTTTGCATTATTATTGCAAAATTTTATAAACATGTCGCAAAGTCGCAGACAAAACAAACCAACAGCGCTGAATTGTAAAAATATTTTGCTCGTTTTAACAAAGTACATTTCTCACACGGAATTTCTCATATAGTTATATATGTTCTCATGTATATCTCATATATATATATCCATTAAATTGGTAAAATTATCTTTAAAAGATATTCATTTCTTGTAACAATATTTCTATATTATTAACATAATCAATATATTAATAAGTGTACTTATTAACTATCTTGTCTAAGATAGTAGTGCTCAATAAATTCGAACATCTTCTTCATCGATATTTTCGATTGAGCATCAGAATAGCTTTACATTTAAGTATGTATTAATAAATTCTTTCCAAGTACACCAATACTTACGATATGTAAATAATAATGCGGAAAAAACTTTTATATACGTATTTTTTATGTATATAATAAATTTTAGTTGAACTAAAATAACAATAAATATTTAATAAAACAAATAATAAAACAATTTATATTTATTTATTACAAATTACATGATATTACTTGCAATTAATATATGAATGTGTTCCAACAGTAATTTCGTTTTATTTTTCCTATTATGTCATTTTGTTGAATTTGTATTATGTCAATTAAATTTCTCTTTGGAATTTTTGAATCAGCTGATTACTACCATGTTTAGGGTTGACCCGGTTGTAAGAATAAGCTGATCGGTTCGATTGCAAGAACTGTAGATTTTTTTAGCTCTCGTTCGGTAACTGAAATATTTAGGACCTGCCCATCCACTTCCACGTTTCTGCGAGTTCAGTGCCCGACAAAGTAACAAGAAAGAAAGCAAATAATGACTAACATAAACGTAGCTCAAATAACTATCGGAAATATTGAACTGTAGACGTGTTTTGCTTACATTCTAGTCCATGTTTTGATGGAAACTTTTTTGTTTAAATTGAATGAGATTGTTGTTGTTGTTGCCGTTGCGAGCTTGAAATGTTTATTAGTAAATGTTGTGTCTGACTATGACTGTTACTAAATAACAGATCGTCCATGATCTACGACAAGTTTTCTAGTAGAGCATCGCCGTAACCCAATTTCTGTGAAACGAGTTTATCACTAAAAGTGAAGAGAACTCGTAGAACGAACGCACGCACATATGTATATCAAAACCATTAAGTTCAATGTCGTCGGTTCTTATTTACTTTTTGCTGTCTTTGATAACCTCAGTACTTAATTGTTATTTGATTTCTTTTTTTTATTATTTGTATGCACGTCCTCGCCGAAACCAAATAAACCACATCGGAATGGAACATTCTGTTATTTTAACTAAGCTGTTACAAGAATTGTAATAAACGAAGAGCAAATACTTCAATGCCAGAACATTAATCGATTTTCATTTTTTTTTTAATCTTCTCTTTGAACGTAACAAGAATGTATTTCCTATTGAAAAATTAGAAAGGTAATTTAAAATTATATCAAATTTGTGAGATACGAACCGAACCTAAAACCGAAATTAACTGGAATTTTTAACTGAATAAAAACTGTAACCGGAACGAAAAATTACTCCATTAAAAAACCGAAACTGGAAAGAAATGTTAATTACTGTTAATTTCGGTTCAAATTTTTTATTATATAATTTTGTAATCGCTTTCTTTCATGTATGCTCTTTGATGGTAGTGTGCCGGAGTTAGTGTTTTGGTTTATATATATATTCATTTGGAAAAAAAAAAATTTTCGACATTGTATTGGGTATGAATAGAGTATATAAACAAACAATGTAATTCCGTGGAAACGCTTAATCATCAATATAAATAAAGCCTCCATCACCACCAATCAACCACCGACTAAAAAGAGAAAATTTGAAGAATAAAGGGCAAGCACAAGTCTTGCGCAACTAACATTAGAACAAACTCAAATGAAAGTGACTAAAAAGGATATTACTGTAAACAGGACTAAAGAAACATTACAAAATGCATGTGTTAATTCATAACAATAGTAAGAATGGAATTTGGTAAATAAATCTAAATCAAAATTTTATATTGGACTCGATTTGAAATTTTAACTAAACAATTTAAATTGCTTTTTTTTTCGATTTTAAATTTTAGTTTCAACCGGAACTGCACCGGAACCGAAAATGAACCGAAATTTTTAGACGGACCGAAATTGAATCTGTACGATAAACATTTACTTGGAACGTAACCGTAAACCGGAATGAAATTAATTTCGGCTCCACTCTCTGATTATAAATAATAATATTTTAAATTTGTTGTTCCAAGTTCACTGAATGGAATTAATTTAAAACGTGTTGAATAAATGTCAACACACAACCACTGATATTTGTATGTATAATGTCTGTTCATTAACATTTGACAGACGCAAAGGTTTTATTATAATTTATTTGATGCTGGAATTGATTATCTATTTATAAATCGCACACACCCACAGAGTTTACAACTTTTTTTTCGCCTAGAAGATATATTTATTTTAAAGTTTCATTGTCACTTTTCTTTAATTCAAACCAAAATAAAAAATTAATATTATATAATTTATACAGAAAAACATATTTCGTATATTTTTCGATAAATACGTTTTTTACGAGTAATATATAATATCATTATATAAAACTATACGCTATAAATATGTCTGAATTAAAAAGAAAATGATAACTCACAGAAGCAAAGAGATAGTCCTTTTTCATACAACTTTACAAAATTTCTTAAGTAACTCTATTGAAGTAAAAGAAGAAGAAAACTTGCGAAAGACATAGAAGGAATATTTCAACACATCGAGAAGAAAATGGATTTACCGATTTACAAACTCCCGGACTTACGAACAAGATACTAAAAGCTCTAAATTATTACAAGGAGATATATGTGACAAAAAATTAACTGTCCATACAAAAATTGATAATTTCTTTAATAAAATACCATAGTATGTTTACCTCTAGGATGTGCTACGGTGTGGGGAAACACAACAAAAGAAAACATAAAAACATTGTCAAGACAACAAGAAAAGCTACAAAAAATTATGTTTTCAAATAGCCATGACACGCAGATACCGGATGTGGGGACACTGATAGAGGCACAGACAAACATTGTGATACACAATCTGGAACCATGTTGTATTGTGCTACGCCCTGCACCAGCAAACTCCTGTTCATTATGTTGGTTGATTTTGTTCCATTCTAATATTTCCTCTCGCTCTCGTGTTATAATTGTGTGTGT